CCGAGTAGAGTTTCTTCTTCGACGGTGGCCTCTTCAGGTGGCACGTCTTCAGCAGCGTCATTTGTTCTGTTGTCCACTTTGTCCCAACTGAAATGTCCTGGACTGTGATAACGCCAAAGCCTGTTGGCATGCACCACCTTTGGCTTACCTCGCCGACCATATTTTATTTGGAAAGTCACCTCTAAGAGACGATCCACTATGTCATATGGGCCTTCCCATGGAGAAGACAACTTAGGAGACTTTCCTTTGGTCTTCCTGGGATTATACAACCACACCTTGTCTCCTGGTACAAAGCTGACTTCAGTAGACTTCTTAACATAGCATAGCTTTATCGAATCAGCAGACGTTTTCAAGTTTGAATGCACTTGATGGTGAATATTATCCATCCTTTCCGATAACGCTTTCGCGAATTCTGACACATTTTCAGGCAACTCTTCATAAGGTGGGCATCCTGTTAACAGATCCACTGGCAACCTAAGTTCCCGACCAAACATCAACTTTGCTGGAGTGTCCAGTTGTACTTTTCTACCATCCCATCATACTGTGGGTGAAGTGGCGTTGTTCTGGTCTTTCGTATGCCAAACAACTTGCAGCATTCATGGAACACAGCTGATTCAAAGTTATGGCCTTGATCTGAATGCAGTTCGTATGGCATACCAAATCTGAAGAAATCACTAATAGCCAAAGCTACAGTTGTAGCTTCCTGATTTGGTATTGCATATGCCTCAGGCCACTTGGTGAAATAATCCATCGCCACACAAATGTACCTGTTTCCAGCACGAGTTTGAGGCAAAGGACCAGCAATGTCAACAGCTACTCTTTCCATTGGTGCGCCAACTTGATATAACTTCATTGGAGCACGTCCCTTATGCTTGGTCTCCTTTTAGCACAACATGTACTGCATGTCCTGCAACATTCTTCCACATTTTGCCTCATACCTATCCAGTAAAATCTCTGCCATAGGTGACTCAATGTATTCTTAACTCCAAGATGTCCTCCTGTTAAACTATCATGGGATTGACGCAGCACAACTTCCCGTAACTTTCTTAGTATAACTGGTTGCAGGTCGTCACTTTTCCATCTACAGACAAGAATACCATCTGCAAGCTCCAACTGGTCCCATTGTGCCCAATAGTTCTTTGTCACAGGGCTTAAGCTAGACACTTTTTCCCAAGCAGGGCACAAAAC